CAGCTGCTGTCATACTCTAGAGCAGTAATAGTCAATCTTGGAGCGTGAAATTTGAAATCAGTATACAGTAGTTGATTAAACTAGCTTTATTTGTTTTTTAAAAACCAGAACAGCATAGTATAGAATATAATAAAATGGAACAGACCAGTATGGAACAGAGTAAGATGTATCAGAATACTCAGTAAGGTTAAGTATTACTTCATTAAGTAGTAATACCTTACCATTTAATATCTATAATATACATTATTATAGAATCAACAAAGAGAGTGCCATTATTCTAGGTTAGGGATTCTTAACCAAAAACTTATGATATGGCCTTTAGAGTTTTCATAAACCTCTTGAAATTGTACAAATATTTGTGCTTATGTATGTTTTATATATGGACTTACAGACTATATATGTACATATGCACATGTGTGCACCTATATGTGTATATATAGTATGTATACATATATTTTATTTCTTTATATATACAGTCACTTGCTGCATAACTTGTGTTTCTAGCACTGATGAACCACATGTATGAGGGTAGTCCCAAAAGATGAGAATCTTGTATTTATACTATACCTTTTCTATGTTTAGTTATGTTTAAGTACACATATGGCCATTGTGTTTCAATTGCCTACAGTATTCAGTAATGCGCTGTACGGACGTGTAGCCTAGAAACAATAGGCTATACCATATAGCCCCGGGGTGTAGTAGGCTATTATACAACCTAGGTTGATGTAAGTACCCTGTATGATGTCTGCACAACCATGAAGTGTCTAACGAGGCATTTCTCAGATCATATCCCTGTCACTAGATGACATATGACTGTGGATTATTTTTAGGGACAGAATCATAGCTGCTATCAAGCTTTCAAACTGGGCTTGTAACCTCAAATTTAGGAACTTCAGTTCTAGGAAAAGGTATTCTCACTAGAGAAGTTCATGAATCAGGAATTCCCAAAGTCAATTAGCATCCAGTGGAGTTTTCGGCATTCTTCCATACCAGAGAGGGCCATAGTCTGTTGGTGTATTTTTTGAGAATTGTTAATCTTAAATAATAGATGAATTTGACCAAGTTATAAAAATCTCTTCATGTTAAGGTAATTCCTTCCTTGTCACTCAAAATTCCCTCAATAAAAGTACCAGTTGGATGTTTTTCATGTCCAGGACATATCTCTGAACTTAAGAGACTTGCAGATTAATAATCTGTATATGCAGATCTCATGTTTTCCTCATCTACCGTTCATTTTTATGCAAAGGCAAATTAGCCTACTTAAAATAAACACCAGGAGCAGCTTTGTAGGGTATGATATCTCCCTGAAAGCACATGAGACGTCTCTTGGCAACCAGGAGGAGGTCTGAGGACTTTGATTTCCCCCGTTTCTATTGCACTTCTATAGAACATTTTTTTATAATGTCCTGGCTGCTAGGCATAGTTCTAGTCGATTTCACAAGGTTATTTTAGTACTTAACGAAAACCTTGAGGAAAAGGTATTATCATCCTCGTATAAGGAAACAGAAGCTCGGAGAGTTTCTGTTAGAGATAGATACCATAAATTCACCAGCTTGGTAAAACACAAAACTATAATTGGAACCTACATCTTCTAATGTGTTTTCCAGATGCATGTAAAATGAACGGATTTCTAAGGAGGTGAATCCTTTCATTACAGCTGTCATACTTATTTTACATTCCATGTTCAGGTTGTTATTAGTACATTGGATCAAATAAAACTGATCTGTTAATTTGTTGTTCAAATGGTACACATTAGAATGTGAAAAGGTGCTCTACTGGTAATTTCTATGGTCTCAGGCAAATTAGAATAGATAGTTACCCCAAATGACGCTAAAGAATCGTGTTGGTTTTCTTTAGGACTTCTTAGTGGTCTAAGGACAGCAGATTTACTATATAGTCTAGTTCTGTCACATGAACAATTCATTTGTATTGTATTCATCTGGGGATTGATTTGTGTAATTCTACCATAATTTTCCACTGGTCGGATATGTCATTGTTTCACTATAGATTTCTTAGTTAAATAAAGTTCAGAAATGATAAAATAATTGAGCTACATATATAAATGTCTGATTTTCTGATATATAATCACCATATCCAGGAATTATTCCAACTTTCAGTGTAGATGTTTCAACAATTATTAAACAAAGGTAATTAAAATTACATATAATTTTCATCATTGATTTTAGATATATCACTATAATAGTAGAAATAACTTTTTACTTGTAGTAAAAAATGTAGTCTTGAATCTTGGCTATATAATTCAGTCTTGGAAACTTTGAACAAACTAATTCATGTCTTTAAATGGGAGCTTTCTCATTTTTAAAAGGATATACAAGTTTCTGCTGTAACACCTCAGAGGAATACTGTAAATACTAAATAAGATAATATGTGAGTGCTTTGGAAATTGTAAAGAACTTTCAAAAATGTATGTATATAGGTATATAGATTTACATATATACATTTTGATGTCTACATTCTCATACATTAAAGCTTAAATTATTTTGCTTTATATAGTAGATTTTTAATATTTTAAAACCTAAAATTAATGTACATTAAAAAAACCTTCTACAGCTTTAAAATAATAATTAAAAAACCCCACTAAGGAAAGTAAGTTTTAATTTACTTCACGGAGCTGTTTCCTAAAAACGCCCTGAAGATGGCACAATAAGTACATTTTGGTGCAAATATTACCAAAGAATTGTAAGAAAAATATATTTGAGGTTAAAACACTAAATTTAAAACAAACCTTTTGTAAGTTTGTGGAAAAGAAATAGTTTCTGAGTCTTTTAAACAATGCCCATTGTTTTAATGTTACAGAAGTCATTTATTTCATTGCACTTTAAGGAGCACTACAAACAGGTAGCTAGTCAGAAAACTGATATTGTCATGTTACTGACAAGAGTCAGGTTAGTTCATGTTGTACAGTTTTATCAATAAATTTACCCTTGTAATTATAAAACAGCTGATAAGCTCATCTGTTATCTTCTGCATAATGTACAATCTGCATCTAAATGCCGGTTTTTATTAGGCATTATGGGGATAAGGACTAGCAGAGAGAAAAGCTGAAAAATATCTGTTTTATTAAAATATAAAATACAGTAGGCTCTATTCTTAGAAAAAATATTAGATAGTTATAATTATTTCTGTGGGATTGTAATACTTACAAGTTTAAAAAATATACATCTATATTAGGCCGACTATATATTTTACAAAGATGAAATAGAATTCGTGAAACGAGAGTTAGTAGAAATAAAGGTTCCTTTGGAAATACACAGGTGTGAAAATATTTATGCTCTATCTATTTGAGTATCAGAGGTTACTGGTCTCAGCCATCTCTCTCTCTGACTTACTTGTTTCTCTATCACACACATATTAAATACTTACAATATGTATTATGTAGTCTCTACCTATTAAGGATTTAAAATCTAAATATGACCAATTCTATATTCATATGTATACACATATAAATATTACATATAAATCAACGTTATATCTATTGGTTGTCAATACGTGTCCATACACATTCACTTACAGCATGTTAAATAAATACCTAGGTAAACAATAGGTTTTATCATTAAATTCGTGTGTAAGTCCTTGAAGGAAAGAGTTTGTGTTTTTATGGGTATTGGCAAATTGCCTCTCACTGGAAGGGACTTCTTTAACTTACCTTTCAAGAACTGAACTTTAGTCCCAACAAAACTGATTTATTAGTGTGATAACTCTTTTATAATTTGTGTAGCAGGTTTTCCGGTCTTCACTAGAAAAACTCATAAAAATACATTAAAAAACGATTTATTATGGCATTCTTGGAGCACTGAGATACTAAAGGAGTATAAGAAATTTTGACAATTTTAACAAGTTAGTTTCAATCTTTTTTCTGTGTTAATATCCCAAGGCCTCTTGAATTTTTTTCAGGATCAAAAGTGATATGATTTTTGGTTGTTAGTAAATCATGGAAATATCAGTATAGTCTTTTCAGTTTAGATGGGTTGCTAAAAATTAAAATGATATGAAGTTATAGCATTTCAAACTTCATCAGTTCATAAATTAGGAACTGAGGCCAGGATCAGTGGCTCACACCTGTAATCCCAGCACTCTGGGAGGGCGAGGCGGGTGGCTCACCTGATGTCAGGAGTTCAAGACCAGCCTGGCCAACATGGTAAAACTCCATCCCTACTAAAAATACAAAAATTAGCTGGGCGTGATGGTGGGCACCTGTAATCCCAGCTACTTGGGAGGCTGAGGCAGGAGAATGCTGGAATCTGGGAGGCAGAAGTTGCAGTGAGCTGAGATCATGCCATTGCACTACAGCTCAGGCCAACAACAGCAAGACTCTGTCTCAAAAATAAAATAAAGAAAGAACTGAAAGTCTTATCATTTGTTTTGAGCTTTTCTTCTTATGTTTCTTTTTGAATGAACTATCTGCATATTTAAAATATTTTAGTAGACCTTTTACGTTCAAAATCTTTAGGTAGGGAAAATGGGAGTATACATTTAGAAAATTATAGATAGTGATGCTTACAAAAAAGTCATCAAAAATTATCAAAAGAATAATGGATGGTTCAAAAATGTCTAAATGCTTATGAAGTTGATTGTCAGTGATGTGTTATCTGGAACCGTATGGGTCAGTTTGACAACGTGTACTTAAGGATGTCAGGTGACATGTTGCTGAACTGACTGCACTGCCTCTGTTAAAAATGCTTTAAAAACTGTCCATATATACATTTATCTATGTAGTCTTTGCGAGTACATCTTTCACTGTTTTTAAAACATTTTTAAAAACAATTTAAAAAATCTTAAAGAACTGAACAAAACGGATGAACACACTAAACAAGCAAACAAAGAAAAAGCAAAGAGAGAGAGAAAAAAGCTCTTACTTTGCAATGTGCTATTTTGAACTTAATCTGACAGAATCACCGTCTGTCCGTTGTTTGAAGAGTCTCAAAAGAATGTGAGAGCTTATTATTTGATTGAAGGAAAACATGACTTTCAGTCATAACTTTCATATTTCATTGGACTTACTTTATTTTCGTTGTAGAGTGGTATTTCATGACCTGGCAAGGCTATAAAACCATTCTGCATTGATGTAGCACATCCTGTAGATGTTAGAATGACCTGGTTAGTACCATCTCTTTCAAAGTAGTCCCAAACAATTATTAAATACATAATAATATATTTAATATGTTCTGAGATCCATAGTTTAGCATCCAGTGTTTCTAAGGACTGTTACATATTAATCCAAGCAAGAAAATGGTATAATCTATATTATGATGAAAAAAAATCAATAAATAACTGTGAATGAACAACATCGATTAATATATATAATGAAAAGTACTGAAAATAGCTCAGAGAGTAATAATTTGCTGTCATGACATTTCATTATAATTAGTTGTTCGTATTTTCTTAGTTGACGAGATTTTGAAATTTGACTTTCCATATATTACCTGGGAGATGGCATTAAATGAAGTAAAGCCAATTGTTATTATTCCCAATTAATAAAATCATGTGTATTTGTTGATAGCATGCTTTTGTAAAACAACTTTTTTGGTGGCCACACAAGAACACACATAACAATGTTGTAGGCATTTGAAAAAGGGGCATAGTAAGCTTGAAGGGAGTGTTAAAAATGGATTATTTTACTTTCATTTGCTTCACTTAATTGTTCTCAAATTTTAATAAAGTTGTTATTGTATTTTTAAACTTTTTGTATTGGTTTCTTTGTTCTGTCGTATTGGGAGTATACTTTTACTTATCTTTCTCTATAAAAATAGCAATCTGCAAATAGATATGTTTTACAGTGTCTATATCACCTATCGATTAGAGAGTATGTCATCTTCTGTTCCAAAAGACTCTAAAATAGAAATCATTATAATGATTTAGATGCGACATTGTGTGAGTAGAAGGCTCTATGAATGATCTCTAAACATTTCTTTAGGGCTTTAAGATTGTGAGATTTTCTGAATGAAGTTTGGGTGTTCCCCAAGCAACCATTAGTCATGGTAAGTTATTCATGTACATGATCTTCTTATTTTGTCTAAATAATCATTGTTAGCACTTGTGAAGTTTTAGCAACATTCATGTTATGCTCACTGACAGAATGTAAAGGGACTCTACATTTGGCATGCTTAGTAAATGGCTTCAGGTTTTGGTTGCAGTGATGTCTTTGTGAAGACTCTAGAACACCTTCGACTTCCTTTAGTAACACTTATTTCTCGGAGAATATTTAGGGACTTCAGTGAGACACTCACAAAAGACAGTTCCTACCACAGTGGGTTCACCACCACCACCACCCTACTAGTTTAGTGTTTTGGGTTTATGTTGGCCACTGTGGTGCAGGGGCCCTCACTATGTCTTTGCTCCCTCCACCTCTCCTGCCCAGTTGCTCCAACTCACCTTTCAGACTGATGCCAGACAAATCTTCCTCAAACACTGCTCCTACCGTGACCTATGTGAGTGAGGGTCTTGTGGATTTTTATTTTTTATTTTTGGTCCAACCAGTGAAAATTATTTAACCTAATCTATTTTCCTTTTTGTTTTAAGTAAGAAAATGAAGAGTGAAATTCGGCACAGCCAAGTAATCAGCATCCAGCTGTTTCAAGTAGTGTGTAGCCCACCATCTCTTCCTTCTGTTTCATTAAATTCATTAAGTCCATTAAATTCGTCAAGCAGACAATGCTTGGTTTTATTCCCTGATGCCTAATTTTGCGTCATATTGTACTGTGTATGCCACTTCATGTCCTCGTGGAGAGAAGTGCAGTATAATTCTTAAACAAGAAATCTCAGGCTTTTGCTCAAGAACTTCAAATGTTTCCCAGTTTTGTACTGTACCAATTCTAAGTTCTTCTGTGTGGTTTACAAGATTCTCTGCTCCATGTATTTAATTTTGTTTCCCATGATTTCTCAAAATGTTCTCTCTATCTAATTAGGCCTGTTTCCTTAAGGTTCTCTGAAGCTGTCATAGCCCTTCTTGCCTTTGCTTTCCCTGGAGCCCGTCATCTTGCCTCTAATGTACTTTATTTTCCCCACTCCTATGTCAGTCTCACCATCCTGTCCTTGAGAGACTAACTCACACACCTTTTTTATGAAGCCCACTGTAATTGTTCATATATCTCCTTCTTTAATAGTAAATGTTTCTGTTTCTGTGCTGCAAAGAAAAAATAGTTCTTAAATCTTGATACATTTTGCATTGACTCCTTAACTCTATTATACATTTTAGGATTTTCATGGGTAGGAATTATGTCTTAAACTTTTTATGTTTCACAAAATCTCGAGTATAAGATTGAGGACTCATCTAGTAACCATTTTGTGGCAGAGATCTAACCTCTCTTAATTCTTCTACATATTACAAATTTTTAAATTGCATAGCCTTTAGTTGAGATACATGGCAGAAACCTAGGTTTCTCTCTATTTCTTTGCATTCTCTGGCCTTCCATCTTGTTCTGATTAATGAACTATGAGCAGAAATGACATCACTTCCAGCAGAAGTGAAGCCAGCAGGTGCATCTCCGCCATCACTCTCTTCTCCTGTGACTTGGGACGCATGCGTTCCTGATGGCAGAGTAGCAACATGAAACAGGATTTGTATCAGATTTCAGATGGACAAGAAATACATCTATGTTGTTTTAAGCCATGGAAACTGTGAAGTCTGTCTCTTGCAGAAGCTAAATTTAATTATCCTCAGGAGTGTAAGATTCAAGTGGTGGTATACATGTTTTGTGGAATCTTCACATATATGTATATTTGTTTTATAGAATCTTCACGTGTGTATGTGTGTGTATATATATTTGTTTTATAGAATCAATTTTATATACATGTATGTTTTATAGAATCTTCAAACATTAAATCAGGTATTTGTATTCTCTAGAACTCCAGAGTTCTGCAACCTCCCTAAGAATCTCTTCAAAGTAAATTAATGTTGTTCATATCTACAGCAAACAAAGGCACCTATATCATGGTTTTCTCAGTTATAGCAAATGTTGGCTTTGACTACATTTTGACATTAAACATTGTTGATGCCATTTCTGAATCTACTGCATGGTTGTAACCTTAGTTGGAAATACTGTTGGTTACTGGTTGGTCAAGGAGATTAACCCTGGAGTTTGAGACTTTATTCAAAGTTCTTCTTTTGGACTTGAAAAAATATCTGCTAAGAGAACTTGTCCCATTTTAGGTTATGCTGAAGCATGAGAAGATGTACAGAAATACTCTGAATTCTAAAGGAAGTTCAATATTACATAATCTCAATTTGTAGTATAATGAAAAAAGTGTGAATGAGAAAGTCAAGCAGTAAAGGTGAATTTGATATTCTGTAACTTCAGTTTTACTTCTGCTATGTATTTCTTTATTAATATAGCACATGGCCAGTCATTTGATAAGGAGTGATTCAAAAAATCTCAGTTACTGACAAAAGCTATCCTCTTTTGAAAAACACAGTTTTAAGTATCAGATTTTTTCTTTCTAAGTTTTCAGGTTACCCATGAGCTCATGCTGTCATAGTGGCTTAATAAGAATTATTACTACATATAATGTGAACAAAAGCCTTCATGTTTACTTTGATATTCAAAATGCAAAGTTAGACCAAGATAAAACAGTTAGTTATCCAGCTAATAAACATATAGGTATGATAAGAGATACTTAGACAATGAAACCGCTCATATACTACTGGTAAGAATGTATTCTTCCTGGAAAGCAGTTGGAGAATGCATACGAAAATCTCTAAAAATGTATTCTTTCCCCCATAATCCTAGTTCTCAAAATCTACGTTAAAAGATAATCAGAGATATTATACATGTATGTATATTGATTTTTCATAGTTCTTAAAAAAATGTATAAATCACTAAATGCCAAAATGAAGGCCACAATTAAATACACTTTGGTACATTTTGATGATGGCATATTTTGCAGTTGCTAATAAAGAATTTTTAAAGATAACTTAAAATATTTAATGGCATGTGAAAATGTTTGCAATATTAAGTTGAAAACCGGGTATCAAACTACATACATCCAATGACTCCAATTTAGTAAAATTTATGTAGCTACCTTGAAAAAACGATGAACAGAAATATTAACATCAATTGATGTTGGTAGTTTTTTTTGCTTTATAAATTTACACATATAGAAATGAAGAACATAGACAACTTATAGAAACTACTAAATTATTAAAATAAGCATATGTTGCCTTGATGAATGGAAATCACCAAATTCTGAGCCAACCGTATGGACTGTGTTGCAGGCCTGTCATCTTTCTGTTCATGCGGTTGCTGTTACCTCAGAACAAATGAACAACAACAACAGAACTTTTCGTCTTCTCAGACTACCTTACTTCATCTTAGCCACCAAGGACAACGGAGGTGCCAGCCTCTATGACAAGCCCTCCCTGCCCTGCTTCAGGTTGGGCTGTGTGTTCTTCCTCGTTACTCCCACTGCATCCAGCATATTTCCTTACAACGGTAATAAAATGGGACTGATTTGCTTGGCTGGGTTCGCCACTGGTTGTAGCTCTGTAGCTCTTTGAGGTATGGAATATCTTTTCCATGTTCTTCGCATTTTAGCACAATGACAGGCACCCAAATGGCAGTCAATAAACGTTTGTAGACTGAACCATGTTTAAATGACTTACAGCAGTGTGTAATGCAGAGTGAAGTGCTGTCTTGAGGCAGGTTCCATTAAACTCCTGATTTGATTTTGCTCTGGAAATTTCCAGAGTCTAAGTAGTCTGAGAGTCCTATATATAAAAAATATACACATCAACTTTTGCCATTCAAAGATGATTTACATAATTATAAAAACAATATATTAAAGTACTGTTGTTTTACATTTCAGGAATATTTTCCATTGATAAATGAGAGTTTCTGATTAATCTGAATAACTAAATTTAAGCTTTCAAAGCTGGGATGTTAATGGTAGTCTTTAACAAATTGTACCCACTTTTTAGACTGTTATAAATTATAAAGTGCACTGGTACTAAACTTCCCAACTCAAATCACAGTGATGTTTCATAAATTTATTTGATAACGTTATTCATTAATTTGTGTGAGAAAGACAGTTGTCATGGTAATAACTTAAAATGAAGTGAAACACAATCCTGGTCACGTTTGCTAAAGCAGGCGAATCTGCTCTATTGCATTGCATTTTTCTAATTTAAACATAACTGAAGCAAAATACAAAGGGAATTTAAAATAAACATTTAGGGGTGTTTTCACTATATATATAAAAAATAAAGTTTCAAAAATCCCCCAATTTGGAGAGTCAGTTCTATTGGCATACTCGATATTCACATTCCTGAGTTTTCCATAAAATGCAGATTGTATTCAGAATGATTCAGATCAATAATGCAACTGGGCTTTCGTCTGAGTTTCAGAGAGTGAGATAGTAAAATGGCTGAGAGGTGTCTGGAGAAGAAGGCAAACAGATGCGATTATTTCTGCGAACAAACGTGTTATCTTTGACTCCCTACCCAATCTATTTGGTTTGTCATAACTTGCCATGATGATAATTAGGTGACAGAACAAATGAATGTGCTTTCATGGAAGAATGGCCGATGCTAAAAATAATAAAAAAGGCAATACCTGAGCTTGAGTAATTTTATTATTGTGCATTCAGAGAGTTTTGAAATCTATGGAATTCCTGCTGGGAAACAAATTTTCCTCACTGAATGGATCATTAAAAAGTCCATTTACTATAACAAAATGCATGTTCTGAATGTGTATACATTTGAATTTGTAGATTTTTTCCCCCTCAAGTAGAGATGATTGAATTTCATTGATATAATTTAAAAAGAGTGAAACAAATTTCTTAATACTAAGTAGTTTTATTTTTTTGGTAAATGTTGCTATGTTCAAATAACATTTGGCAAAAATCATTGCTTATAGCATTCTGTGTAAGGAAAATAAAATGTTGTCTCTCAAATTGTAAGGTATATTTTATTGTTTACTTGAAAGTTTAGTGCTGTATTTTAGATAAAATATATTCAACGTCTTAGAGTAGCAGTCATCTCTGCATTTTAGAGCCAAAACCTCAAAACAAATCAGGCTTATGTGTGTAAAATATGTGCATATTTTTAATTGCTGCAGAAAACACAAATACACATAACATTTTTACATAATCCCAGCCTCTTAACAAATGTTACAGTAAGATACCAATTGGTGAGGTTCAAAAAATTAAGATGTGGATGAAAAATAAAATTCCGCCTCTCAAAAATTGCGTGGGATGCCATTTACATTTTAATTCCAAGAAAACTCAAATATCAATAAGACAATCTTTTTGGTTGTTTTACTCATAATGTAAGATATTCAGGTAGTTTTTAAATTGTTTAAATTTTAGGTTTGGGAGTACATGTGAAGGTTTGTTACACAGGTAAACACGTGTCTTGGGGCTTTGTTGTACATATTATTACATCACCCAGGTATTAAGCCCAGTAAAATCCCAACAAATTCACATATAATCTTATCCATGTGACAGTAAGTGTCCAAATAAACAATTAAAAGAGAGTACTAAATTTTCATAACTTACCCTGTGTGATATTAAATGAGAACATATTTAGTTTCAGCCAGGTAATTGACTCGATTCCTCGTGTCTGGTATGTAACTGTTAAAATTGAAATACAGATAAAGTAGATTATTTAATTTTTGAATTGTGTACATTTCTGTGTGTACCAAATGAGGAGAAAAGTCACAAACCCAATTCCCAAATGCTAGGTGTTGCATATGAGATGAAGGTTTTAGTTATGCAACAACAACAATGATTTCTCTGTAGAGTACAATCTTTAAAAATAACTTTCAGGGTGCTGATTTTCATAATTACAAATAAGTGCAATTTAGCTAGTAATTAAAACGAAAATGTTAACAAAGGCTCTGCATTGATGCCTCTTTTGCAAGTACATGCAAATGTTTTGAGGCAGTCTGTCTCCATGCTTAATCTTACTTGAAAATTTCCCTGAAGATATTCCTTGCCTTACAAAGCGAAGTGAATTGTTTGAAAAAATATTAAAGAGTAATTTTCTATATTATTTTTTTAAAAAATCTACAATTATTCGCAATACCTTAGGGTATAAGTAACAGCATAATAAACCTATTTTGGCACTAGCACCCCTTTATCCCTACCAATTCATGTACTCAGACCCACTTTATATGTCTATTCCAGAAAATTTCAAGATGTAGTAATCACTAACAGTAATGTTATCCTGTTCGGATAGTAAAAATTTTAACTTTTTTGAATAATTGGAACAAATTACTTCTTTTAGCAAAGTATACATTGTAATGACCATACATTATCTTGTTAGCAGACCCATATATTAGGCATATTTACTACTATTCTCTGATTTACTTTGAGATCAAGCTTTGTTCTATTGTCTAATAGGTTCAAACATTTTCTTTTGTAAAGAAAATGTATTACTATTTTATGAAGAACGTAACCTATGATTTTTTTAATGTTTCCAGTGAATTTTCTTCTGGCTTAAATAATATTTCTTCAAATAAAGCAAGTTAAATTAAATTTGCAATATAATTTCTAGTTCTTTTCTCTAGAGCCATTACAAATGACTTTTACTACAGCACTCACTATAGTATATCATTTATAGTATATCATGATACATTAAATTTATAGAAAATGTACTCAAATTGATCTTTTAAAAAATTTTCACTAATGTGTATATTCATACTAGAATATAAATTCCACAATATGACTTGTTTTATATTAAAAAATTATTAAAAATTTTTTAAAATGTGTTTTGCATTATTTACATCTGGTTAAAATTTAAATGTGAAAGAAATACATATCCGTGGTTCTTTGGAAAGTGTAGTAAATTTGAGGTCTGTGTATGCTTTATTTTAATGTGAACACAGAAAACCGTAGAGGTTACTATTTTTTTCCCTTTGGAGATAAAGCAGTTGGGTAATGGATCGCAAACCACCTGTCTTCTGCTCGGAGAATGTACTCTTGTTGCTCTGGGTTCAGAGAATTCCTCCTGGTGCCCATTGCCATGTCCTGTATTGTAAGTTAATAAAGTTACAGTCTAATGGTCTTTTTGAGTAAAGTACACTTCTGAGTCTCTTTTTGCCCAAAGGGTCTGCACTATTAGTAGAGTCATTCCCAGTGCTCCTTTGATATTTTGCTTTTCTGTCCTTTCTTGTGAATGAATTAGTAAGAACAGTGATATTAACTATTCACTTCCAGTGTTGGTTCCATTGCATTCAGTGGCCAAACATAATTAATTCCTGAAATCTAGTCATTTCCTCTGTCATGTTTATTAAGTCTGCAAAAGCAAATCAAAAACCCAATTTTATTAATACAGAAGTATGTTTTATTTGTTTTGGAGGTTTACTCAGTTTCGTCTTTTTCTCTAACATGCTTTTCTTGTGTAATAAACATTTATTCTCACAGCAAAATATTCATTTCAATTATGCTATCAGTTAAATAATTTATTGAACTTGTGTGATCATTTTCCTCCCTCATTTATCTAAATTTGTTAGTGCCTTATGGTTTATGAAGGGTCATAAATAGTCCACTGGATTTATCTTTTCCAATTTTAATCTAATTCTTATTTACCCATAACTGCTAAAGTTATCCAACTATTATTACTGAGATGATGTTGGGAAATGACAAAGAAAGTATAATTTGATGTACAATTTTGTACAATCTATGTTTTCTTATGTTCCTTCTGTTTTTGTTGTTTTGTTTTGTTTTTCGTTTTTCGAGACAGAGTCTCACTCTGTTACCCAGTCTGGAGTGCAGTGGCGTGGTCTCGACTCATTGAAACCTCTACCTCCCAGGTTCAGGTGATCCTACTGCCTCAGCCTCCCAAGTAGCTGGGACTACGACATGTGCCACCACACCTGGCTAATTTTTGTATTTGCAGTACAGACGGCATTTCACCATGTTGGCTAGGCTGGTCTTGAACTCCTGACCTCCTCTGCCTGCCTTGACCTCCCAGAGTGCTGGGATTACAGGCGTGATTGGTCTCTTATGTTCCTTTTAAAAAGGCATTGAAAAAATGTGAACATTTTATAGTATCCTGTTGATTTTATGAATGCATCTAACTCTTAAAATTTTTTTTCTTTAAGATATATCTGTGTTAAGTAGTATTCATATTTTATTAAATGGCTATTTTAAAATTGAACTTTCCTCTCATGTGGTATATAACTAGCATTTTTCCACTTTGTTTTCAGACCTGTTTCATATTTATATTCCATGCACTCTGTTCCTCTAGGATATTACGTATCTTCATGTTAGAATGTAGAATTTGCTAGGGAATATTTATTGATTAATTGTGTCCTATATATAGGACTGGAAAGTCACTTGGTGATCATCCATAAAAAGTCCTCTTGTTTTCTTTCCACCTGTTACACATTTCATCTGTCTAATCCCCACTAATACAGATCCATTATATCTTTTTCGTATAATTTTCCTTGTTTGCCCCAAGTTATCTTCTCCACAGTAAGATCTCATCTGGATTAATTTTGAAGATTGGTAGAAAGTCCTCTCTGATATATTTTCCATCTACTCTCATCCTGCTAGGCTCTCAGATGCTTAGAGTTCCACTATTATTATTGTGTAAGTTAAACATTGTATTTTGAGTTTTTGCTCGAAGTGATCACATAACGAATTATTATCTAAATTTTCTTGCCTTGAAATTTTAAGGGCCATATTATAGAACTGCTGGCCCATATTAAAAATGTGAACTCTGTCTGAAGAACCTTTTATTGGCCAGACGTGGTGGCTCACACCTGTAATCCCAAACTTTGGGAGGCCAAGGCAGGAGGATCCCTTGATGCCAGGAGTTTGAGACCAGGCTGGCTAACATGGTGAAACCCCATCTCTACTGCTCGGGAGGCTGAGGTGGGAGAATCTCTTGAACCCAGATGGCGGAGGCTGCAATAACTATGCCACTGCTCTCCAGCCTGAGTGACGGAGCGAGACTCCGTCTCAAAACAAACAAACAAACAAGAACCTTTTACCACTTCTCAACCAGTGTGCATCGCTCAGACGTGGAAATCTTTTTTGTCCTTTCAGGGATAACCCCTTCCTCTAGAATAATTTACTTTCTAAATCTGAGTGTGAAAATCTAACAAATAAGATTTGCCTTATTTATTCTCTTTGATCTTTGTGACACCAAAACTTGTGAATGTTTCATTTATTACTAATACTCTGTTTTTGTAAATTGCACATTAAAAAATGTAAGTGAAATCACATTTTTCAAAGGAAATTGTTTAATTTTTGTCAATGAACACTTTTTAAAATGAAAAACAGATGAACTTCCCTTACTTTCATTTCTAAGTGTAGTTACATCTTTACAGGAAGAATTTAGGTATACATTTACAATGAGATGGTTAACAGAAAGCATTAAATATCCTGAACTGTCAGATGGGAGAGCTTTATCCACAAAAACTCCTTGATCTCTTTCGCCTGTGAGCTTTCTCAGCTTTTGTATCTCATCTAATACACATTTGTTCTAATTTTATGTTGTCTGGAATCCTTTCATGTGTGTTAGATTTGCCACTTGAGGTAAATGCTAAAGTGTTTTTAGGATAAAGCTTATGTTACATATTTGTATATTACCTCTATATCTGTATTTTCAAAAAAGTTAATTTGTTAATCAAAAGATTGAACTTGTCAGTTACTAAACAGATTGTCTCTAATTGTTAGACAAAGAATATTTATGTGAGCAATTGACTTTTAGCAATAGCACCATAAAGATAAAGGCATATTAATTTAAACCTTAATTTTTATAGGTAAGGAGAATGATCCATAGAAATTAAATGAACATTGAAAGATGATATAACAAAATTGTTCTTTTAACCTTTTTGAAATGTTCACTTTTTCTAAAATGTGCACTTTAATACACATTATTCATCTATTAGCATCTTTAGTACTGGATCAGTAGAAATTGTATTTTTTAAATTTTACATGAGTGGTTATTAAAACATACACATAGGGTCTTTAAATTATAAAACCTAAACAAATGATTAATCTCTCCTAACACTAAAATATTTTAAAATCGATTACTACAGTGCTGGTAATGATGTATACCTGGCAGCTGACAGTCAAATTTTATGAAGGATTAAAACATAAAGTTTGCATTAAAGGTAAGATTTCTATGTACCTTATAACTGTTTCATCTCAGAAAACAATATAACAACTTCCTTTTCTAACAACCAGTATTTACTTTTTCACAAACATAAATCTGTGAGCTATTAGCAAACACTGAATTGACATTCCAATGAAAAGATACATACTGAAATTTACAGTATAAAATACATTTTATGTCCTCTTTATGGAAAACACACATACCTACACATGCACACGTACACACACTCACACTCACGTGTAACTCTATCAACATACCATAACTAACTGCAAAGTATGTATCTAACTAAAAACACTGTTATGTGACAATGATTCTCTCCTTCACCAAACTCTTTTCAGGATGCTCTGAACTCTTCTCAGTTAGGCCCTGACTTTTGGGCTTCTGTGTTCATCTCTGCATTGTCCAGCTTTAGCAAGAATCGTGCTGAGTCAATTTACGAAAGCCCCCCTCCACCCCCAATTCTTGGTCTGACTACTCTCTGAATTTTATCACCTGGCCTGTCTTCAGCAAAACTCCTTAGGTCAGCTGAACAAATAATTACCATACCTCCTAGTAATTGTCCATCCACCAACCCCTGACCCTGCTCCTTTGCTATTAATCCTTTTCTCTTATTGTATCCGGAATTAAGTCCAGGGTCTCTCACCTGCTCCACCCCCCATTGTGGTGGCTCATTTTGAATTCAGTCTTCCTTATCATCTTTAACAAGTATCTTCAGTAATTTTTCTTTGACCTAAGATAAAAATACATTCCTGCAATTCAGTTTTTACACATTTCCTCTTAGATGTTTATCATTCTGCTTTCTTATTAGCAATTAAATCATAAAATATAGTTATATTCACATTTAATATTTACACACTTACAACATGTAGTCTTCGAATCAATAGCCCTAACACTTAAAAATGTGCTTCAGAATGGCCTTTTCTCCTTAAATATGTTTTTCTTAGCCCACTGGATAAAAATGCAAGTTATTGTATTTAATAATATAAACCAGTACACATGTTCTAAGCACTATATTATATATCTCTGCACAAGACAGAAGAATGCATTTTTCCCCCTCAAATAGACATTTAAGTTGTGAGAATAAAACAATACATAGGAAGTGATAGAGGAGGTTGGAGCCCCCACAGAACAAGGTGAAACCCCTCACCTAGTCCCGTTTGTCCTCTGTCACATCACCTTTTCAGTGAATTCAATACGGAGCCTTAATGCTGCAGTTAGACACTAAGCAATGATCTTTTGTTCATTAACTGTACACTCCTTGATGTTCAGCTCTCATTTACACAATGTCAATATGCTTCTTGCAGTTCTTTTTGCTCTTTCAAACAAACTATGACCTTTAATTGAAAGGAGAAAATTAGTTGTGATATTGTGGCAGGAGACACCTTCTGGGATTTGTATTTGCCAGAAAAGATAGCAGCTAAGAATTTGGTGCTGAGAAATCTGGGGGTAGACAAAAAATAAAGTGGAAATACTCAGAAGAAAAGTGACATGTGAAACATATTTATAATAAACAGAGTAATACAAAATCTACATAAAGAGAATAGACTAATGATGCCTGAATATAGCATTCATTGTCTTCTATCTCAAATTTTTATTTTCAAGGACTGACAGTAAGCTGCTTGTGTGTAATGATAACTGGCTTTTTTTCTTCCTTTTCTTTCTGAAATCATGCTGTTGGCGGCTAATCAGTCATAATAATAATGTTACAGTGTCCTCAGCACTTGTCCTCCTAAAAGCTTAAAGAACACAAAATGTCCTGGTTCACTCATTGGTTTTATTTTTCCCAAACTCCATATCCTTCCATTGCACAGCCTCTGGGCCCAATTAAATGATTTTTAAAAATTAGGTTAGCAAAAAGAAAAAAAAATGGCCTGTTTTTTGCAGATGCAAAGACTAAATGGTCCCCATACATTGAGGAGCTGACACAGACTATGATAACAGAAAGATGAAAAGGCAACAGAATCCTTGCAAGTGCCCCCCTCTCCCCTTCCCTCTTATGCTTTGTAGGGACAAAAGAAGGCAGCATTCCTTTTTCCATCATCCGCTGTCACAATACTGACTGGCTTGCCTTGCAAAATTACCTCTAGAGTGACACAGAATTTGTACCAAGTGCAGGCAGATGACAAAACTGAAGATCAAATAATATGCAATTGAGAAATGATTTTTAGGTGCTTTTCAAAGCATTAAAGGCTTCTAGGTATTGGCCCTGCATAGTGGTGTTTATTTCATGAATACATGAAATGAATCTGGCCATTTTTCAATAATATTGACAAACATTACCTCCTCTTTGAAGCCTTCCTCAACTTGCCCAGCCAGAAAAAGTGGTCTAAGGACTGCTCTTATCAGAAGAAAGCTTTAGGCCAATATCTGATAATCTAAAGGATCTTGAAGGATTGAAAGTTACTGAATATTTGAAATGAAGGCCATCTGAAAATTCTGAAATATATGATCACTATCTATTTTATTCTATTTATCTATTGTGACATGACAAACCACCCCAAACTTAGTGACAAAATGGCAACCATTTTATTATGCGGGTCAGGAGTAAAGGCACATTGCAGGCATGGTTTTCTCTGCTCCATGTCAGGGCCTACCCTGGAAAGCCTTGACTGGCTGGAGGTGACTCACACTTTTGAGTCATCTGCAGGTTTCTCCATCTGCAAGTTGGGTTCTTGGGCTGGGGATGACTGGCAGGCTCAGCGGGGACTTCCATCAGACCACTTACACGTCCTCTTCCCATAAGGCTTGGCATTCTCACCGTACAGCTGCTGGCTCCCAGGGCTTGTGTTCTGAGAGGGAACATCCAGATAGTAGAGGTTCCAGAAAGCCAGATGGAAACCTTATGCCTCTGAGGATCTTGTCTTGGAAGTCACATAACATCACTTCTTCTGTTTTCTACAGGTCAAAACAGTCACAACCCTGCTCAAATTCGCAAAGAGGGGACGGAAATGGAAGCTCTTCATGGGAGGAAGGTAAAAGAATTTGGTGCCGTCTTTAAGACTACCACATTACACCAATGGCATCTTCTCACTTTTAGCACAGCCTCTCTGCAACTCGATGATCTGCAATTTGTTTTCTCTTCACCCCAAGTGACTATGAGCTCACGCAGGGCCAAAATTATTTACAACCTAAACAAATTATATTCTAAGAAACTGTTGATGAAAATGAGACACTATAAATATTGAATGAAGTTTACACACACGCACCTAGAGAAAATTAAAGTGCTAATAATCAAAGACAATCTAAAGTCTATGGTTTAATCTCTTACTTAAATACAGTCATCTGCATTTGAGTAACTTGACAGCGATGCAGGGCAGGTGACCCCCCAAACTGGGGTTTAGCCCAGGAGGGTTATTGGCTTCACCCAGGAAAGAATTCAAGGGGGAGCCAGTGGTGTGAGACAGCAACTTTTATTGAAGCAGCAGCATATAGCAGCGGCAGAGGTATTTCTCCTTGTGGAGCAGGGCCACCCCATAGGCAGTGAGCTCAGAGTAGCAGCCGAGAGGCAGTTCTGCAGTCATATTTATACCCACTTTTAACTACATGCAAATTAAGGTGGGATGATGCAGAAATTTCTAGGAAAAGGATGGTAACTTTCAAGTCGTTGGGTCATTGCCATGGAAAGGGATGGTAACTTCCGGGTGTTGCCGTGGCAATGGTAAACTGATGTAGCACACTGGTGGGCATATCTTATGTAATGTTGCTTTTGCCCCGGATGCCCTGGACCTTTTAACTAGTCCTCAATCCAGTCCAGTTTCCAAGTCCCTGCTCCAGAGTCGAGTACTGCCTCCTACCTCAATGGGCAAGAGTCTAGAAAATTTCATCCTTAAACCTGGTAACTTACATAATTCTTTTTCCTTGGATGCATTCTAATTGTTTCAGAGTTTTCTAGAGATGGACAATTGAGAAGGTGGCAGTCTTGCCTACTTCTAGCAAAACTTCATTAAATAAATGCTGGCAGACAACAAAAAAAAAGCCCTGAAAAGAGTGTTTGTTATCTTGCCCTCCAGCTGCAGATTGAGATGTGACTTTTATCAATCAAGAAAATGGATCATAAGAAAAAGGAGATTGTAACTTAGAAGCTTTACCTGTAGATTTGTCATTTATAATCAAATACATTGGCAGTCCTCTGTTCCTTGAACAAGACAACGTGCCTCTTTGTAAAGCTCACGCGTTCGCTTTTCTTTTGTCTAGAATGCTTTATCCATAGTATATACGTGCCTCATTCTGTCACTTTTTTTTTTTTTTTTTTTTTGAGATAAGTCTCGCTCTGTTGCCCAAGCGGAGTGCAGTGGTGTGATCTCGGCTCACTGCAACCTCCACCTCCTGGGTTCAACCAATTCTCCTGCCTCAGCCTCCCTAGTAGCTGGGACAACAGGCAGATGCCACCATGCTCGGCTAATTTTTTTTATTTTTAGTAGATACGGGGTCTCGCCGGGTTAGCCAGGATGGTCTCGATCTCCTTACCTCATGATCCGCCTGCCTCTGCCTCACCTCCCAAAGTGCTGGGATTACTGGCATGAGCCACCGCACCTGGCCTCTGTCACTTTTTAAAAACAACAGCTTAAATGTCAATGCATTGTGCTTTTCTAACTACACTTTATGCAGTTCTTACTCCTATCAGTCTCTCTGTTTTGTTATAGTATTTACCTAACAGAAAACTACTTATTTGTTTATTTATTTAAGTCAACTTCCCTTCCTAGAATGTAAATTGCGTGAGCGTAGGGCCTTTCAGCTTTATCTTCTACTACTATTCTAGTTCATAGTACAGTGACTGGTGCATAATAAACAATACACTTTTTTATATAAAAGAATGAGTACAGAGCCTATAAAGACAACCTCCATCGTACAAAGGCATGGAGAAAATAATTAGTGATGCATTTAATGAATTTATGTATTGAACAACTTTAAACATCACATCTAAAGAGCTTAACAAATATTTATTTTTATAGTTTTTGCTGAAGCACCAAAATAGAGGCAAAGTTTTGTGGTGGCCAAGTGCTATCTTATTCTCAAATGGAGTTTTAGACCATCCATAAATTACTTGCAAAAGGCATGTCCTAAAACTCTGCACCACTAGACCATCATACACCTTTAATAATTCTTAGATGCATTTTATATATGATGTATTTATATAAAAATGAATGAATTCATTAGAAGACATTTTAAAAACGGGAATTTCCCTGGACAAAGAGTTTTGGGAAAGTGGAGTATTTCTTTTGAAGCCATGTGAGGAGGGCTTTTGGAAAAGCACTTAGGAATCTTGACATGTATGCTTCCTGCTTCTGTAGACACCGGGTTGGCACCTGACTCTGGTGTAAAAAAGTCTCAAGGGTTTATCATCGCTGGCAGAGTAAGAGGAGAGATGGCCAGAGTGGGATACTGCTGCCCACCCACTGATGTTGGGGCGAAGACACCCTGGGCCAGACCTAGAACACATAAATAGAAAAGAGCTGGACTTGAGGGACTTGATTTTGAACAGGACGCTACCAAAAGCACCTACCTGGGAAATTGTACTAACATAAGAGTCAGCGTGGGGCGGTGTGGTGGTTTGTTTTCACGCTGCTGGTGAAGACATACCCAAGACTGGGCGATTTACAAAAGAAAGAAGAGGCTGAATTGCACTTACATTTCCGCACGGCTGGGGAAGCCTCACAATCATGGCGGAAGACAAGTCACATCTTCACGTGGATGGCGGCAGGCAAAGAGAGAGAACGAGAGCCAAGTGAAACGGGTTTCCCTTATCAAACCAGCAGATCTCACGAGACTTACTCACTACCACGAGGACAGCATGGGAGAACCCGCCCCCACAATCCAACCGTCTCCCACCGGGTCCCTCCCAGAAACGCGGGAATTATGGGAGTTCAATTCAAGATGATATTTGGGTGGGGACCCAGAGCCAAACTATATCAGGTGGACTGCCAGGAAAAAGGGGCAGGCGTGTGTTAATGCTTTGGAGAAGGCACTGTGTCTGGGATAGGAGCTACGGGTGAGAGATCCCAGCCACCGAAGGTCGCCAAGGAATCTGTGGGAGAGGAAATAAGAATTTGCCTGCCTGTTCCCAGTTGTTTGAGACTGGGGAGAAGGCGATGAGAAAAGGTTTCAATTGGATGAGAGGTTGATACTCAGATATTAGGCAGGAAAGAACTTTTAAACCCCTGAAAAATGAGAGTTCTTCCTCATAACTGAGAGTAACTAGGAAAAAATGTCAGATCGGCCTAATATTTCTTCCGGGGATAGATAAGAACAGTTCAAAATTAGAAAGAGCAGTAGTGAGAAAAAAAGAAAAGGTCATTCTCTGCTTTTAACCTGACAACTCTTATTCAGTCAATTTAAATGTTAAACAGGTTTTAGATAAAATACTAGTAAGTAAAACGCCTATGATAAGAGTTCTGGGTAAAATGTACAGCATTCTGTACTTCATAAAGAATAAAAACTCAAGTTTATTGTAGATATATTGCATGTTCTTTCTATATTCTTTCTATATATCTATTACATGTATTTTCTCTAATAGTAATTTTAAAAACCTACACATATAGGTATGTACAGAAAAAATTGAATGCTGACACACTTACCTAAATGTTAAGACAAATTTTTTCCCTGGGATTGATTTAAATTTTCTTCTTTATATTTATTTCCTCTGACCCTGGAGGCTGTGTGTACTTTACTCATTCTTTGATGCAAATACTTTTTT